ATAAAAAAGCTTTAAGAAATATGCCGTTTATCCGACTCGAGCTTTAAGCTATCGATAGTACGAGATTATAACAAATCCTTGCAAGCAGTTAAGCAAAAGAGCGTCTCTTTAGCGGTATAGATTAAAGAACACCGAACTATTTATAAGTTAGCGAAGATGAACAACTTTTACGAAACGACGAGTATACTCGCGATAAAAGCATTCTTAAAAGCTATTAACGAAAAATAATCACCAACTTAAGCGTCGCTAAAGCTCGCAAAGGTCATTCGAAACGACGAGCTATTATTGCTTTAAAAGCGCACTTTCTACGATTACTTTAACTAATACGAAAGCTAAGTCGAAGCAAAGACGAGCAATCCGAACTTTAACCTCTTTAATGTATTCGCTACTTTCGAAGATCAAACGACTCGCAGCACCTCCGGAAGTGATAAAGCTAACGATATTACTCTTAAGCAGTCCGGTAAACGCTTCGATAGCTTTAAAAGACTTACTAAAAGTTTTAAATGCTCGTGCTTTAAAAAGAGAAACTATTATTAAAACGCAATCAAGTGCAAGATCTTTCGCTATTACTTTAACGGTCTTAACGAAAGTAGATTCGCAAAGCCGAACCGAAATAATATCGTCGCTATAAAAAAGAAGCTTTAAAAGCTTAAGTTTAAAGCGCTTCGAAAAAAAATTACAAAAGAAAGTTAAGCACAAATTCAAGTCGATAAGATCGTCTTAAAAAGCAAAAAAAAGCAATCGAACGATAGCGATAAGTTAAAATACTTTAAAAAAGTATTAATAGCTATTATCGATCTTAAGCTCTTTAGCACGCTCGATAATCTTATTTTTAACGGTCTTTATAGCACGGCTAATAATAAGCACTAGCTATCTAATAACACTCTTCTCGACAATTGCGGCGCTACTTACTTTATTAACGATAAAAATCTATTAATATTAAAGTCAATTCAGCGCTCTCGCTTAATCGACTTTATCGAAGCTAGAACGAATAGTCTTTTAATCGTCGAGCGAAGTACTAAAGTCTTTAAAAAAGCTTTGAACGGACCAAATAAAGCTAAGACGGAAGATTTAAAGTTAGAAAACGTCGCTATCGTTAAAAGGTTTAATATTAATATCATCTCGAAAGCTTTTTTAAGCAAAGCTAGCGTATAATACTTAAGATATAACGCAACTTTCCGCTACGAAAAGGTTAAAAAGAGCGTCGTATTAAAAAAGTTAAAAAAAAAGTTCAACTTTACGTTCTTTAAATACAAGTTATTCAACTATTCTTTACCTTAATTGATTCGTAGCTCTTTTTGCTTAATAATATTCTTTACAGCTTAAAAGCGCTTGCAAACACGTTATAAATTTTAAAAAAGCAATATCTTCCGAGCTTTAAAAAAAGATTTATCGATACTTTAGCATTTACAAACAAGTCATCTAAGCAAAGAAGCCTTCGAAGCGCTAGCTTACAACGTTAAAAAAGTAAGACTTAAAAGAATTACTAAAGTTGAATATAAAGCATATGCTATTACGCACGCTTAACAAGTCATATCTCGCCGCACGTTAGATAACAAAGCAGCTAAGCTATTTTATAAGATCGCTTAAGATCTATTCGATTTCTTTAACGGTTTCGAAAAGAGCAAATAATTATTAATAATTAAAAATAAATATAATAAAAAGCTATTCGGCTTTACATTAAAAGACAAGTTACAATTAACGGTTATAAAAGTGCTAAAAGAATTTAAAGCATAAACGAGACGCAAATACGGTCTTTTAATAGCTATTATGCGCTATAACAACGATTCTTTAGTAATCGCAATCAACGTAATCGGCTCTACCGAATATCAAAGATAAGCGAAAGAAATTAAGATCGAGTTAAAGCTTTTATTATCTTTTAATTACGAACTTAATAAAAGAGCTAAAAAAGCTAAGAGAAAAGTAATAGAACGGTTTATTAAAATAAAAGTAAAAGCAAAGCTCTTAAAGAAGCTCTAGCTTAAGACTATACTAGCCGCTATTTACTTCTATAATATAATACCGAAAGCGAAAAGCTTTATAAAGAGTCCGAATAAAGTGCTATAGCTTTAGTTCAAGCAATATTTTAAGTAATACGATCCGGCGATCTTTATACGGATCGACATCGACTTAAGACTAGATTATAGCGGTTTAATTACGTATAGCGCTCGTGCGTACTTAATAATTAAAAACCGAAAAGCTTTTCGCAATAAAAAATCTTTTAAAATCAAACCGAAAAGATATATAAGCTATTTGATTAGATATATAGCTTTTAATATATACAAAGTCTATGTTCTTATGCTTTATAAAGTGATTATCATACGCAACGTAACGTTCGATAAAACTTAATTTTATCTTAAAAACGAAGAAAAATCGATCGGCTAATCGATTAGCGAGATTAAAAGCATCGTTATTAAATTAAAAGATATTAAAAACTTTAATTAAACAAAAGACGCTTTGTCTAACATAAAGAACGTTGCAAAAGATCGCTTAAAAGAAACGAATGCAATTGATATAAAAAGTAAGCAGCCGTTAAACCTTATAAAAGTTGACTTAAAAAGATTTAATTAAAGCTTAAAAGATGCGATCTTATTTAATTCGAGCGATGCACAAACGTTAAAAGCTTTAACTTTAATTAAAGACCTTATAAATACGTTTATATTAAAAGCAATTGCTTTACGAGACGATCTAATAAACCTTAACGATTCGAACTACACCGTTAACCGTTTCGCTAGCTCTTTAGCTAAAAGCAAAAGCGAAAGTGCTTTAAAACTGTTAAAAGCAAAGAAAAGCATCGTAAACAAACAAAAACTTAGCTTTAATAAAAGAGCGCGCAAATCATACTTTTAAATTGTTATTTAAAGCCGAAGCTTAAAAAGCTAAGCTATAAGCCGATTAACGAAAGCTTTTACGTTAATAACCGGCGGAGATTTAAATCGAATAATCAAAGAAAAGCCTTTAAACCTTTTTAAAGCGAGCATTAATAATAAAAAATTAAATTATAAACACTTTAAATAAAATTCCGACTTTAATAAAAAGTATTCACTTATTAATAGCTGCATTAAAAAACGCGCGAAGATATACGCAAGTGTTAATAAGCTTCTTTTAAACAACTCTTTCGCCGATTCGAACCGCTATTCGCGCGTTTTAGATTTTGTATCGACTTTTTAAGCTAATAGCGATCTTATGCGTAAAGATAACAAAGATTACGAAACATTATACGCTATTATAACAGCTGCTACTTCGTTTAAGCTATTATTAAAACAGCTTAACTCGTAAAAACGAAAACATCTAAAACCTCTTACTTATTAAAAAGAGCTATAACGATACTTATACGGTAAAGAGTTTAAAGACGAAGCTTTTATAAAGCTAAATAATCTAAAGAAAAAAAACTGCTAAAAAGTGATTCTCGAAAGCGAAGCTAAATTAAAACTTATACCTTTTAAGTAAGTGTTTATATACAAAACTAGCTCGTTCGAAAAGATCGTAAAGTTTAAATCGAAGATTATAATTAAAAGCGACTTTTAAAACGAATCTATTATCTATTTAACTTACGCTACTACGCTAACAATTAAATCGTTTAAAATAATGATAGCTATAATAGCCGAATTTGATTTAAAAGTAAAACAATTCGACGTCGTCAACGCTTTTATTAACGCTATAAGACACACGGATAGCGTTTTAATTACGTGTTATCTTTTTAACGGTTTTAAATAAAAAAGTATGCTCGTAAAAGTCGATAAAGCTTTATATAAACTCAAAGACTCGCTAGCTTTATAGTATTTCGACTTTACAAGCACACTCGACAAATTAAAGCTTATTTTACTCGATAAAGAACTGTATATTTTTACGAATCTAAACAAAACGGTCTTTATAACGTTTTACGTAAACGATATTTAAGTTATATACTATTACTTTAATCTTTTTAAAGCGCAAAAGATTATTAACGGTTTTAATAAAGCGTACGAGATCGAAGCGATAAAAGATATTAAATAATTTCTTAATATAAAAGTCGCTCGAGACCGTTAGTAAAGAACGCTAACGCTTATATACGACGCTTATATTAAAAAAATAGCCAAGAAATTCGAACTTACGAACGGACGCTGCTTAACAACTTTATTACCGTTTTATAACTTAATTAAAAATAAAAAGATAGCTTCGCGGAAACAAGTAAAAGAGTATTAAAAGAAAGTTAAATCCGTGTTATATATAACGATCATGTTACGCTTAAATATAGCTTTTATAGCCTTTCAACTTTTTCACTTTAGCACTAATCCAAGCGCGGAGCACTTCCGAGCTATAAACTAGTGTTTGCGATATCTATTTAACTCGCGCTTTAAAAGTATTTAATACAGCTAGTTTAGCAAATCAAAGCTAGTAATAGCTTTTAACGCTTCTTACGCCGATAACGAAGAGATAAAGCGATCTTCTTAAAAGTATATTATGTTTTTATTCGAAAGTACGATCTTTTAAAAAGCTTTAAAGCAAGATACAATTACTATATCATTTATTAAAGCAAAGCTTCTTAGCATAGCCTTTATAATAAAAGAGATTATAACGCTCTAACGGTTTTTTAAAGAGCTGCACCTTCGTTTTGCGGCGCTTTAAGTAGTTTATTATAATAATCAACAAATAATAAAGCTTATAGCTAATGAAAAAGAACGTATCTTTACTAAGCTTCGCTACGTCGATATTCATAATATATAACTGCGTTAAAAGCACTTCAAAAAGAGCTTTCAAGTTTAATATCTTTTTACTAAAGAGATGCACGCTAACGGTCTTATTAAGAACCTGACTCGATAGAAGTTTAAAAGCTTTATTAAGCTTTTGAATTTACAAGACGCTCGCGCGTTAATCGAGAATCTTTAATAGTACGCATATGCTATTCACTTATTACATTTCATTTTTTTTTCATTTGCACGTAATTTAAAAGAAAACATTTATTTAGTAATTATAGCCGTTATTCTATCTTATCTTATACGCTTTTACTTTTCGTCTTCTTATAACAAAAGATCGATTAAAGCTTTTAGCAATCTTTTTACTTTAGCTCGGCGCTCCGCAAAAGTTATAACAACGGCGAGCGCCGTTGCGAAAGCGGCAAGCGCAACGATTAGCGCAAAAAGAGCGACAACAATAAGTGCGACAAAAGCGACAAAAGCAATAAGGGCGGCAAGCGCAAAAGCTGTTATAGCAGCAGATTAAAGCTTTTATATAAAGTCCGAAAAGAAGTTTTAATCAAAAGGAACTGCTTAAATTAAATTATTTCGGAAGTCAAAAAGCTTGACTTACGAAAAGATAATATACTCGAAGCGCTCCGCGTCATCGGATTACGGTTTGCTATTATAAGACTATTCAATTTAACAAAAGCTATATTCAAATTAAAAGTCTTAAAAGCAAAAGCAAAACTTGCAAAGCTACCGAGACTACTTTTAAAACCTTTACTTTTATTCGCTAGACCGCTCGAACTACTAGCAGCACCTCTTAAAAAAGCAGCATCTAAAGCGAGCTGTTATCGCATAGCATCTCGAAGACCTCGGCGAACTCTTTATATAATACTACTATTTTTAACGCTTACGAAGTTATCGAAAGCGGTGTTAATAACGGCAAAAGCAGCGGTGCAGTTGCTATAGCTACTTTTAGCATACCGGAGACAGCGTATAACGCTCGTGTCGTAATTATAATAGTCTCTATTAGACCTCGATATGATCTTATTATTAATGCACTTGATACACTTTAAAGCTTTAACGGTCGTTAACATAAGCAAGCGCTTAATAAAAAGGTTTAAGAGAAAAGGCGAAGCTTCGAAAATAAAAGTGCGTAGTATAACCGCCGCAACCGCCGCAGCTGCAGCAGCAACAATAGCTAAAGCAAAGAAAAGATTCTCTTAATAATTAGCATAAATATATTAATCTATCAAAAGCATTTACTTTTAAACGGCTTCGGCCGCGCTTAACGATTCTATTAGACTAAGTTACTTGCTTAAAAAGCATTGTATAAATAGATAAAAGTTAAGTGTTTATTATAATAAAAAAGAACGCGCTTTTACTTATATAACAACGCGACAAAGACAGCGCTAAAGACCTCCGCTACGTAATAAAACCGACTTAAAAAAGAATTGCATTCTTAACTGATACTTAATTAACAATAACAACCGCTATTTGTTTGTTTAAACTGCGATGACAATCTTTTTTATTTACATCGAGTTTAAAAAGCTTAATCATTTAATTTTTTTTTCTTTTTTATTTGCTTGCAGCTTAGCAGCTACGCTGCTAACTTAAAAGGTGTGTTATGCAAAATAAGCATAATTCCACTTAAGCTATATATAACATGTTATGTGACCTCGCTTAATAGCGCTTTTAGCACACTAAAGCTTTTAAGTACATGTATATAGATCTTGACGAGCTTTTTAAATAAAATATACCAAGCTTCATTCAATTTACAGAATCTTTTCCTGATCTTAGTGCTAGTAAGCACTACACCTTTTTATTAAGCGCTTGTTTATGCTAACGACCGTTAAAGCTTTAAGGTGCATTAAGTGCATTAATAATAAGATCACATCGAAGTTTAATAAAGACTATTATAATTACGATACGAGCGTTATACGCTATCTTCGGTGTGCTAAAGGTAGCTATAGCAATTGCACCGTTGCTTTTGCCGCTATTAATACCGCTTTCGATAACTTCGTAAGCGTTAAAGATAATAATGTTATATAAAGAATTCGCCGGAGTCTTTAAAATGCTATGCGATAATAGCTCGCTTTAAATGCTGCCTTTTTAAAAGGTGTTGCTAGTAGTCCGAGCGGTCTAGCGAGTAGAAATGGAAGTTTTAAAAGTAATCTCGATAGCTTTATAAGTTTTGCTTTTGCTTTTAAGACCTTTAATTTGAATATAGCTTTTATTAGATTAAATAGTTTTATAGCAACGAACCGTGATCCGATGACGCGAAGCGCTTCGAGTATATCACCTTTTCGTAAGTCAAGCTTTTTGACTTTCGAAATAATTTAATCTAAGCAGCTTTTTTTAACTAGAACTTTTTTTCGGACTTTATACAAAAGCTTTAATCTGCTGCTATAGCAGCTCTTGCGCCTGCCGCCCTTGTTGCTCCCGTCGCTTTCGCAGCTCCCGTCGCTCCCGTCGCACCCGCAGCTCCCGTCGCTCCCGTCGCACTTATTATCGTCGCTCTTTTTGCGCTAGTTATTGCGCCTGCCGCTTTCGCGGCGGCGCCCGTCGTTGCTATGACTCTTGCGGAGCGCCGAGCTAAAATAAAGAGATTGTTAAAAGCTTTGATTGATCTTTTGTTATGATAAGCGAAAGGTAGAAGCGTATAAGATAAGATAGAATAACGGTTAAGATTGCTAAATAAATGTTTTCTTTTGAATCACGTATAATTAAAAAAAAAATGAAATGTAATAAATAAATAGCATATGCGTGTTATTAAAGCTTTTCGACGAACGCGCGAGCGTTTTGTAAATTTAAGAGCTTGATAAAGCTTTTAAACTTTTATCGAGTTAAGTTCTTAATAAGATTATTAACGTGCATCTCGTTAATAAAAAGATATTAAACTTAAAAGCTCTTTTTAAAGTGCTTTTAGCGCAGTTATATATTATGAATATCGACGTAGCGAAGCTTAGTAAAGATACGCTCTTTCTCTTTAGCTATAAGCTTGATTGTTTATTAATTATTATAATAAACTATTTAAAGCGCCGCAAATCGAAGGTACAGCTCTTTGAAAAATCGTTAAAGCGCTATAGTCTCTTTTATTATAAAGGCTATGCTAAGAAGCTCCGCTTTAATAGATAATATAGTAATTATATCTTGCTTTAAAGCTTTTTAAAAGATCGCACTTTCGAATAAAAACATAATATACTTTTAAAAAGATCGCTTTGTCTTTTCGTCATCGGCGTAAAAAGCGTTAAATGCTATTACTAGCTCCGACTTGCTAAACTAGCTATATTAAATACTTTTAAAGCGCGAGTTAAATAAATATCGTAAACACTAGTTTATAGCTCGAAGGTATTTCGCGCTTAAATTAGTGTTAAAGTAAAAGAGTTAAAAAGCTGCAAAAGCTATATTTAAGCGTAGCATGATCGTTATATATAGCACGGATCTAATTTTCTTTTAATACTCTTTCATTTGCTTTTGCGAAGCTATTTTTTTATTTTTAATTAAGTTATAAAACGGTAATAAAGTTGTTAAGCAGCGTCCGTTCGTAAGTTCGAATTTCTTAGCTATTTTTTTAATATAAGCGTCGTGCATAAGCGTTAGCGTTCTTCGTTAACGGTTTCGAGCGATTCTTATTTTAAAAAACTATTTAATATCTTTTATCGCTTCGATCTTATACGCTTTATTAAGACCGTTAATAATCTTTTACGCTTTAAAAAGATTAAAGTGATAGTATATAACTTAAATATCGTTTACGTAAAACGTTATAAAAACCGTTTTATTTAGATTCGTGAAAATATACGGTTTTTTATCGAGTAGTATAAGCTTTAATTTATCGAGTATGCTTATAAAGTCGAAATACTATAGAGCTAGCGAGTCTTTAAGTTTATATAAGGCTTTATCGACCTTTATAAGTATACTTTTTTATTTAAAACCGTTAAAAAGATAACACGTAATTAAAACGCTATTCGTATATCTTATAGCGTTAATAAAAGCGTTGACGACGTCGAACTGTTTTACTTTTAAATCAAATTCGATTGCTATAGCTATTATTATCTTAAACGATTTAGTTATTAACGTAATAGCGTAAGTTGAATAGATAATAGATTCGTTTTAAAAGTCGCTTTTAATTATAATCTTCGATTTAAACTTTACGATCTTTCCGGGCGAGCTAGTCTTATATATAAATACTTACTTAAGAAGTATAAGTTTTGATTTAGCTTCGCTTTCGAGAATCATTCTTTAGCAGTTCTTTTTTTCTAAATTATTTAGCTTTATAAAAGCTCCGTCCTTGAACTCTTTGTTATATAAGTACCGTTATAGCTTTTTTTAATAAATAAAAAGTTTTAAATGTTTTCGTTTTTGTAGATTAAGCTGTTCTAGTAATAGCTTAAACGAAGTAGTAGCTATTATAATAACGTGCAATATCTCGTAATCTTTATTATCTTCGCGCACGGGTTCGTTATTAGCTTAAAAAGTCGATATAAAATTTAAAACGCGCGAATAGCAGTTCGAATCGACGCGAGAGTTATTTAAAAAAAGCTTATTAACACTTGCGTATATCCTCGCGCGTTTTCTAGTGCGGTTATTAATAAGTGAGTGCTTTTTATTAAAGTCGGAATTTTATTTAAAGTATTTATAATCTAATTTTTTATTATTAATGCTCGCTTTAAAAAAGTTTAAAAGCTTTTTTTTAATTATTCGATTTGAATCTCCGCTAGTTGTTAACGTAAAAGCTCTCGTTAATCGGCTTATAACTTAGCTCTTCGAGCTTCGGCTTTAAATAACAACTTAAAAGTACAATTTACGCGCTCTTTTATTAAAGCTAAGTTTTTGCTCGTTTACAATGTTTTTTCTTACTTTTAGCAGTCTTAAAGCACTTTCGCTTTTGCTTTTAGCTAAAGAGTTAGCGAGACGTTTAACAGTGTGATTCGAATCGTTAAAATCTATTAAATCGTTTCGTAAAGCAATTGCTTTTAGTATAAACGTATTTATAAAGTCTTTAATTAAAGTTAAAGCTTTTAACGTTTATGCATCGCTCGGATTAAATAAAGTTGCATTCTTTAAGCTTTAATTAAATCCTTTTAAGTTAACTTTTATAAGGTTTAACAGCTGCTCACTTTTTATATTAATTGCATTCGTCTTTTTTAAGCGATCTTTTGCAACGTTTTTTATGTTAAACAAAGCGTCTTTTGTTTAACTAAAGTCTTTAATATCTTTTAATTTAATAACGATGCTTTTAATTTCGTTAATCGATTAGCCGATTGATTTTTTTTCGTTTTTAAAATAAAATTAAGTCTTATCGAATATTACGTTACGTATAACAATCACTTTATAAAGCATAAGAACATAAACTTTATATATATTAAAAGCTATATATTTAACTAAATAGCTTATATATCTTTTCGGTTTGACCTTAAAAGCTTTTTTATTACGAAGAGCTTTTCGGTTTTTAATTATTAAGTACGCACGAGCGCTATACGTAATTAAACCGTTATAATCTAATCTTAAGTCGATATCGATCCGTATAAAGATCGCCGGATCGTATTATTTAAAATATTACTTGAATTAAAGCTATAACACTTTATTCGGACTCTTTATAAAGCTCTTCGCTCTCGGTATTATATTATAAAAGTAGATAACGGCTAATGTAGTCTTAAGCTAAAGCTTCTTTAAGAGCCTTGCTTTTACTTTTATTTTAATAAACCGTTTTATCACTTTTCTTTCAGCTCTTTCGGCTCTTTTATTAAGTTCGTGATTAAAAGATAATAAGAGCTTCAACTCGATCTTAACCTTTTTCGCTTATTTTTAATATTCGGTAGAGCCGATAACGTTGATTACGATTACCGAGGAATCGTTATTATAACGCATAACAGCTATTAAAAGACCGTATTTGCGTTTTGTTTATGCTTTAAATTCTTTTAGCACTTTCATGATCGTTAATTGCAACTTGTCTTTTAATATAAAGCCGAATAGCTTTTTGTTGTGCGGAACAGGCATGGTTCTACCCAAGCTATATGTAATATATCATGTGACCTCGCCTAATAGCGCCTTTAGCACACTAGAGCTCTTAAGTACATGTACATAGATCTTGACGAGCTTTTTAAATAGAATATATTAAGCTTTATTCAATCTATAAAATCTCTTTTTGATTTTAATGCTAATAAGCATTATAATTAAGAGTTACATTCGCACTCACGAGCTATTCAGTTAGTCTTTAATAACCTCCGAATTAATCGAGAGCGGATTCTGCAAGTTACTTTAACGCTATTTTGCTATAACTTTCATTTTTGCAATTTATCTTTTTTTAATTATATTTATTTTTTATAACTAACACTTATTACTTTTAAGAACTTTAATTAATTTTTAAAAGCTTTAGTTATAAAATCAATTGCTACAATAATAGACGATAAAGTAAAAGAAGTTCTCTTGATTAATAAAACGAACCTTATAAGTCGTAGCGACTTCTTAAGATGGATTACGAACTATAAATACTTTATCAAGCGCTTTAGCATAAAATAATACGCAGCTTTTCGTATTAGCGTAAAAGAGCTTGCTCTTTCTATCGAGCAAATTAAACCAAAAACGAAGTCTGCTATAAAGATAATAACGGAGCTTAATAACGAATAGTTCTAAAACTAAGACCGCTAACGAAAAGCTTAAGAAGAACTGCACTTAAGAGCTTTTGCAAACGATCTTAATAGACTTTTACGACTACGCGAAGCTAAATTCGAAGACGTCCGAAAAGTATATAACGATAATATAAAAGAATACAACTTCGCTATAAACAATTAAAAGATCTTAAATAACAAAAGCAATTAAATTATAAACTAAATTAAAAAAACGGTTAAAAGCTTTATTCTCGAAAAAGCGATCTTGGCGGCTATAAAAGAAGACAACACCTTTATTTAATTCTTAATAAAGAAGCTTTAAAAAATATGCCGTTTATTTAATTCGAGCTTTAAGCTATCGATAATACGAGATTATAATAAATCCTTGCAAGTAGCTAAGCAAAAGAGCGTCTTTTTAGCGGTTTAAATCAAAGAACACCGAGCTATCTATAAATTAGCGAAGATAAACGACTTTTACGAAACGACGAGTATACTCGCGATAAAAGTATTTTTAAAAGTTATTAGCGAAAAATAATTATTAATTTAAGCGTCGCTAAAGCTCGCAAAAGTTATTCGAAACGACGAGCTATTATTGCTTTAAAAGCGCACTTTCTACGATTACTTTAACTAATACGAAAGCTAAATTAACGAAAAGACTAGCAATCCGAACTTTAACTTTTTTAATGTATTCGTTACTTTCGGAAATCAAACGATTCGTAGCACTTCCGGAAGTAATAAAGCTAACGACATTGCTCTTAAGCAGTCCGGTAAACGCTCCGATAGCTTTAAAAGACTTGCTAAAAGTTTTAAGTGCTCGTGCTTTAAAAAGAGAATATATTATTAAGATGCAATTAAGTGTAAGATCTTTCGTTATTGCTTTAACGGTCTTAATAAAAGTAGATTCGTAAAGCCGAACCGAGATGATATCATCGCTATAAGAAAGAAGCTTTAAAAGCTTAAGTTTAAAGCGCTTCGAAAAGAGATTACGAAAGAAAGTTAAGCATAAATTCAAATCGATAAGATCGTTTTAA